ATGTTAGTTTGCCCTACAAACTCATCACATGTTTGCTGCAGGGATGTTTCTCCCATTAGCCCTTCTTCAGGTTGGGCTTACTGCCATCTCCTTGGGGCTTCTCCTTACAGACTCTTCTCATGCTCTCCACCCTTCCCCTTTTGGGGGTCCTCACATCCACCTCTCACCTTCCCACAAGCAGAGGTAAAATGACTATCACACAGAACAATTTATCTCTTTGACTTTTCCCATTCAGACTATGATGGGAGCTGAGGGATCATCTTTCGGAATCAAACATTATCAGTAAGGTTATTTTCCCCCCAACAAGTGACTTTTCAACTATGTTTTAAATATTTTTGCTTCCTCTACTTCAAATCATAGGCAACTTTTCAAATATAATTTTTCTTCCTAGTACATAAAAATCAATTTTCCCCAACAAAAGGTGATAAGCTGTCAGCATGCAGTGCATGCACTTGCTACTGGCCTGAAGACACTTCCTGAAGAGGAGATTCTAGAATATGCTGAGCAGCTGCAGCTTTGTGAGAATAAGGATACACATGCCCCACACTATTTTTTTAAACATTTTTGTAAAAATTTTATTGTATTTTTTCCATTACTGTTTAGCTCCCTTATACCCACCTCCTCCCTGCAATCAACACACTGTTGTCCATGTCCTTGAGTCATTTTTCCTTTTTGCTTCACCCCTTCACCCCACAACCTACCAACCTCCCACCCCCCCCACCAATAGTTGTCATCCTGCTCTCTATGAGTCTGTCTCTGTTTTGCCTGTTGGTTGTCATTAGATTCCACTTATAAATGTAATCATATGGTATTTATCTTTCTCTGACTCGCTTATTTCACTTAGCATAATACTTTCTAGGTCCATCCATACTATAGCAAAGGGTAAAATATTCTTCTTTTTTAAGGCCAATAGTATTCCATTATGTAAATGTCCCATAGTTGTTTTATCCACTCATGTACTTGGGCTGCTTCCATACGTTGGCGATCATAAATAATGCTGCAATAAACATAGCAGTGCTTATGTTCTTTCTAGTATTTTGGGTTTCTTCAGATATAGTCTCAGAAGTGGGATCGCTGGGTCATAAGGCAGTTCCATTTTTAATTTTTTGAGGTAACTCTATAGTGCTTTCCATAGCAGTTACACCAGTCTGCATTCCCACCAGCAGTGCAAAAGGGTTCCCTGTTCTCCATATCCTCACCCGCACTTGTTTGTTGATTTATTGATGATAGCCAATCTGACAGGTGTGAAACGTTCACTTGAATGAGCTGTTGGCTCAAAAAATCATGGACACACATCTTAAAATGTATTCCCTGCCTTGGGATCTCATGGTCTTGCCAATAAAATAAAGATAAGTAGACCACAGGACAACAAAGCGAGGTCAAACTCAGGGAAACCAGTATTTTAAGAGACTATGTGAGGAGGCATAAGTCAACTTTGTGGAACTCTCCAATTTGATTACAACCTCATTTTCAAACCTATGTAGAAGCTGGGATTGAGGCCTCTAAGTGGACTATTGGAAGCGCCACAGAGGGCAGACACTGAGCAGAGTCAAGACTTGTTCTATCCCTCTGTCTGCCCACCACACTGGGCACCAGCCTTTGCCCCATTAGGACACAGGCTGAGCCACAAGTCTGCTACGGTTGACTCAGAGCCTATGGAGGGCTGAAAATCTCAGCCATTGAGTCAAATCTAACAGGGTAAAATGCAGCCAGAACAAACACCAGTCTTCCCTGGAGATTTTAAAAAATACAGCCCAAAACAGGCAAAAATGAAACAGGTTACTGGGTTGGGGTGATGGAATTATGATTCATTTATTTCATTTTCTAGTAAACAATGTCCTGTGGCCTCTACAATAAGCAGTGGTGGTCACCCAACAGGGATGGAGCAGAGCATGACAAAGCACAGTGGAACACAGCACCCTCCGAGTACCCCAAACGTGGATCCTAACCTGGGTGCTCCAGGCAGGGGAGGGAAGGGTGGGCGGCTCAATCCCCTACTTACTGCTCTGTGACAGATGGGCAGATGAGGGAGAGCTCTGAGGAGGCAGCCAACCCTTGGGACTGGTCACTCAAGTCCTATTAGGCATTGGACATTGCAGGTGAGGGAAAGGTTGACCACAGCGTAACAGAGAAAAGGCAGACAGAGGGAAGAGTATATGTGCCTCAGCAATGTCACTGGGACATTAAATTCAAAACTGGGAGTCGAGGAAAATGAAGTACAGAGATGGTCAGGGGCCAAATCCTGCTGGGTCTGGGTAAGGGATTTGGGCTTGTGTGGGAAATGGAAACTACTGGGGGATTTAAACTCAGTAGTAGTGGGGGTCAGAAATGAGTTTCTGAAAAACCAGCATGGCAGCCATGAGACAATCCAGGGATGGACTGAAAATAGTGAGACCCACTAGGATACTATCACATTTGTACAGGAGGAGGTGACATGGCCTGAACCAGGAGGAAATGAGGTCAGTCAGGGGACTTGGTGACAGACACTGGGACACACATCAGAAACACTTCAAGTAACAGAAGCCCCCCACAAATGTGATGAGCTTACGCTCTGCAGACACTAAAAAATGTCAGGAGACAGCAGTCAGTTTGGAATGAACATGACTGTGATGGTGTCCCTCCATTCTACCACCCTCAGTAAGTGGCTCTTTGTCCTCATACCTATAGCTTCAGGGTCACAAGTAGCTGCTGCACTTCCAGCCCTCCTTCCAGGCAGGGAAGGAGTTAAGGGCCTTTCTCTTAAGAAGGCTTTGACTTTTCATTTAGGAAATGGTGCCCTCCCTCATCTCACTGGTTAGGACTGTGTCATAAAGCCACCCAGAGCTGCAAGGATGGCGAAGTGACTTTAGTGGAATTTCCTGGTGTGGTACCTGAACAAAATCAAAGTTCAGTTAGAGAAAAGGAGCAGATGAGTATTAGGTGGGCACCCAGCAGAGGGCTTGCCCTACGTTTGATGAGCCCAGAGGAACATAAAGTCTGTGTGGCCATGGGTATTTGGGGAAATTGAGCAGTTAGAACACCCACCTAAAGCTTGGATGCAGACATCTACCTGAAGCTATAGATTCAAGGTCACCAGCTCATAGTGAAAGGATGAATTTCCAGCACTTTCCCAGCCCATTCCATGACTCTGCTCTAGAGAAACTATGTGTCCTCTAGACCTTTTGAAATAAGAACAAGCTTCTGGAAGAAAGAACCCATTGCCTTAGCTCTGGAATGATTTCTGTGTATAAATCTTGGCCCATCATGAACTTGTCAGCCCCTTGGGGGAAGGGTTGTGCCTCCTTCCTGGTCACCCTTGGAAGTTCACACAGGGCAGGGCACTTTGGGGACCAGAGCTAAAGACCTGAGGTTGACAAAGAGGGAAACAGCCTCTGTCGACAGTGGAATTCCAAGCCTTTCCTTTAGCAAGCCTCAACATTCATCTTTGCCTTTGGGCATTGACCTGGGCTAACTGGGAGGGGGAAAATATCAGCTCCCTTTCTCCCACCAGCAATCCAGACCTTCATCTGTAATTGGGGGCTGCCAGGAAGGCAGCTTCCATGTTCATTGTTAATTATCCTTTTTAATTATACTGAAAAGGCCCTTTCCTTTGTGATTAGCTCTTCTGCAGAAGGAGAGCCAGCCTGTCAGCACCCTGCCCGTGTCCCCCCGGGCAGCTCTGGCAGCTCCAGAGCAAGCCAGTCATGACTGGGCCAACTGTCCATCCTATTCTGTCTAGCCTCATGGACCACTACTTCTGAAGGAAAGAGCTCTTCTCGTAAGGCCTTTCACAGCTCCTCAGCAGTCAGTGCCACAAAATTTCTCCTTCCTCCCTCCTCCACCAGGTGCCTTCATCTTTTCCCTGGCCTCAATCTCTACCTCTTTCTGAGACTGAGGCTCCTCAGCATAACTTGAACCCCCATAGGCCTCTACAACTTAACTGTAAACTCTTGGCCAGACTTGCGGACTCTTCCACTGACTTCTCTCTGCCTAAAATGAGCCTTCCCTGTGTCAGTCAGTTCCTGGGGACCACCACTAACTCTAAAGGCCCAGCAGACACCTCCTCCCATGTGAAGCCAGGATAGTGGCTTTTTGTCTCCAGAACCTTGAGCACACTACCACAATAGCCCCTGCTGTCATTTTAATTGCTCTGCTTTTTCCAACTGCGAGCACATCAGGGACAGGAGCCACGTTTTATTTTCTGTAATCTCAATGCCTATATGGGAAATGGTGAGTGAGTGGGTGAATGTTCAGGAGACTGAATTTATATTTGGGTGCACCCCCTGCCACAGGTCTCCAAATGGCTAAGGAAGGACACACCCTGATACTGTAACCAGTGATGGAACAGTTTCTGGGACATGGAGGCAGTGGGGGCAGGGAGGTCAAATGACCATTCCTCTGGGAACGTGGAGGAACAGATTCACGTGGGTTGTTCTTGGTCACACACTGACCTTGGTGTCAGTCCTAGACAGCCTGTATGGAGCAGCTGGACAGCCAAGCTTGCTTGTCCTGGCACACTAGGCACAGGCTTTTCCCATGTGCTTGAGCCAACTGCTCAGGTTCAGACCCACCCCACCAAACCCACAAGACCTTCCTTGCAAGCCACAAAACCCCCTTGGGTCTGTTTCCTAAGCTGTGACACAATCACATGACCCCAAGTTCTCATATACATTAAATCACATCACTCATCACTCAGGGTGATACCTGCAGACTTCTTGGCATGCTACTGGTTCTTCCAGCTCCTAATCTTCCCTTGCTGTCACCTGTTCCTGTCACCTCCCATCCAACCCTCAGTAAAACTTCCAGGGGAGAGGGGCTGAGGCCGTCTGTTGGCTCGGGGCCCAGCTGAACTCCAAAGGAAGTGGTGGTGGCGCTGCTGGTGGGGCTGCCGGGAATCGAGCTCTCGCCCAGCATACTTTCCTGGCAGAGGGCCTGAGGGGCAAGCTGTGTCATAGGAAAGCCACCGGTAATCAGCTATATTGCACAGAAAACGGGAATGGATGGAGAAAAATAAACACACATTTTCTAAGTGCTTTTATCAGTGTTTTTGTTTCATTTTGTTTTGAACACTATGATTTATTTCCAAACAGCACACAGACGGTCTGCAGGGCAGGACTAGGCCAAATGGCTGTCTGGGTCCCAAGGTGTCTGGAGATACTGGTCCCACCCACAGCAGCTGCCAGGGAAGGAGGACCCTTGCCCAGATGGCTCAGCCGAAGCTTCAGGCAAGCACAGTGGCTCTGAGGCTCCTAGGCCCCACCCTTCAGCTGGGCACAAGCAGTTGCAGCCACCCAAAGGGCGCTGGCAGGGGCAGGGGCAGCCAGGAAATCAACTAGGGGACACAGCAGCTTCAGGAACACTGGTGATTCGACCAAACTTGCCGAAACCAGGCTCTTTGGAAAACAACCTTATCTTTGGGAGAACACCTCTTGGCTTAGTCTCTCCTCTCGATTTCCCTTTGCTTTCCAAAAGTTAAAAAATAAAATAAAATAAACAAAAACACACACATTTTTTGGGGAAAAGGTGTTCTTCACACACTCAGAGAGCTCTACCACCTCTCACTGAACCCGCTCCGTGAAGTTCTCAGGGAAGACACCCCGGCATTTATCCAAGTCCTTGTGCTGGTTCCAGTCACTCTCCTTCACGCCCATGAGCCAGCCTTCATCCTGAAGGGGAAGCAGATCATCCAGGGATGGGGAAGGAGGGTACTTGGGCCTTACAGAGTATGTGTCTCACTGAGAACCTGTTGGGAAGATGTCCCCTCCTCTAGCCTGTCACTTCTCCCCTTAAAGAATGCCTCCTCCAGGCAGCATTCCATTCTAATCTCCCCAGATCCAAACCTAACTGCCCCAGAAGCTATCTGCCCTTCAGCAAGTGGACTGAATTCGATACTTGGTGAGTCCTCTTCACTCTGGAAAGGCAGGCTGACTGCTGCACTGGTCTGAACGTGTCTGAACAACCCCCTCAATCCCAGCCAAGGAAATCTCCATCTTCAGGTACCCACAAAGAACACTTCACTGAGGATATCAGCTGTCCTTCCAGACTTACACAGACAACTCCAGAAAGTTCTGTTGAGCATTAAAAGCTTCAAGTGACCTGACAGCACCACACCAAACCCTCCAATGGGGTCTTTGCCCTAACTCTAACCCCTCCCAAGGATTATGACAACTTCCCTGGCTCCTGGCCCTGACCCTGGGCCTGCAGGAGCCACTGACCTGGCCTGTGGCTGAGGCCAACACTGTCACTACAGTGGGCTCTGCCTGGTACCCACTTATATGTTTTTGCTCTTTCATTCCATGTCACTACCCGCCTTGTCAGAGACTCTACATATGTACTACCTGAGGCACTTGTACCCACCCCAGCTGACGTCAGCTATGGGCCAGGGGCCAGGATTCTGCTTCTGAAAACCCTACCCAGCCCAGACCTAGCCCACGACAGAGATCAGTGGAGACCTGAGGTTTAGGAGAATTGGCTGATTCAGCATTAGGCCCAAGAAATCCTTGTTACTCAAACCTCCCATCCCAGTGTGGCTTCAGTAAATACCTGGTGCCGTAAAGTCCAGCCCAGGGCCCCCACCCAAGTTGGCCTCATCTCACATCCAGCCCCCCTCCCACCTTCAGCCACCCTGACAATTAAACCATACAGATGTGGTGATAACTAAATGGGTCACCCTAACCAGGACTTTTATGCACTGTTAATGTCACCTGGATATCAAGGTAGGCACCCCCAAACCACCACTGGCACCCCACAAAAGCTAATCAACGCCATACAGTGGGATTCCTGGTGAAGGGCCACAGCTATGTGCACAAACCAGCCTGTTCCGACCTAAGAGATAGTTCCGCCTCATCTGGCGAGGCCCTGGCCACAGGGGAGCCCACTGAGTAAAAATACTAACAAGCCGAAGCCATAGCAGGAGGAGGCGGTTCTGGAAGACATCTGGGGTAAGAAACAGCTGGGGCTATGGCTGAGGTGCTCAAGGGTCATACACTGCTAGAGACCACACACTGTCCCCGTGGGTTCTGTGTGGACGGGCAGAGGGCCAGCCTGGAGGGGACAGCATGCAGGGTCACGGGAGCCCAACCTGAGGCCATGGAGAAAGCACCTTAGTGACAGTAAGTGGGGCAGGAGAAGTCATGGGTGGATGGCCAGGGACCCTGTCCTGGGAGAAAGGAGAGCTCGGGGCAGGGAAGGGAAAAAGGGGAGAAACATGTAGAAACCTGGGAGAGGGAAGACAAAGCCTGAGTAAAAAAGAAAACAAGAAGACTGAGGCAGGAAAAAGTTCAAGGAAGAAAGTGAGAAAAGAGAAAACAGACAGACAGGGAGACAGCAACAGGGGGAGGATGTGACAACATGGGAGATGGGCCAGCAAAAAGGCAGAGGGAAAGGATAGAAAGAAAGAAGAAAGGGAGGGGAATAATGAATGATGAGAGAAAAGGACAGGAAAGGAAGAGAGAGGAGAGTCCCAACTAACCAGCAGCTGGTGGGGCTCCCTGGCCAGTGGCCCCACAGCCAGCCCAGCCCCACACCAGCCTCACCTGCTCTTCAGGGTTCTGGAAAGGGATCACCAGCACCACATCCCCAGCCTTGAGCTGCAGCTCGTCCGTGTCAGTGGCTGTGTAGTCATGCTGGGCCTGCACCTGCAGAGGTTGGGGAGAGCTGGACATCCTCCACTCTAAGGCCCTTAGTCCCACCTGCAACCCTGCACAGTGCACCAGGCCCTGAGGTGGCTCTAGTGCGGTGTGCAACAGTGACCAGGAGCACGTGAACATCGCTAGACGAGATACCACATCTCCGATTGGGTAGCAGAGGCTACTCCTAAGCAGGACAACTTTGGGCCAACCACACAGCCTCTGAGGCTCCATGCTCTCATCTATAAAGGGGGTGATTCCACCACCAGGACACTGTCACACAGTGGCAATCAGGCTGTGGGGTCAGCAGCCTGGGCTCACCTTGAACATGAATCCCGGGGGCAGGTCCAAACGCACAGTCCCGTTGCCTCCCTCCACAGTGCCATTCACAGCTGCTGGGAAGGTCTCCACCACGACGGCAGGCAGAGAATTCTGGGCAGGGGTTTGGGAGGAGAGCACAGGTCAGCCTGAGCAGAAGTGAGCCCACGGGGCAGGGATGATGAGCAGGGGGAAGCATGTCTGAGCCTGATGCCAGCCCATCCTGCCTCCAGTCTCAACAGTAACTATGACCTGGACAATGCAAGGAGAACAGGCAAGACACAGTGCTGGGAGGCACAGGCAGGCAGGCTGGCAGACAGATAGCAGGGAAGAAAGAGCCTTGGTCCCTGAGTCTTACGGAAGCTGCTTCACTTGCTGCCGACTCCCCAGGCTCCTGGGCTCCCACCGCAGGTTGGATCCCACCCGCTACCTCTGAGGCTTCTGCTGGCTGCAACATAAATGCCGGCATGGGGTCAGACACAAAGTGGGGCACCGCCACCAGGACAAGGAACAGGGCCACCGAGAGCACCACCCAAGTGGTGTCCAGAGTTGGCCAGAGTCTCTCTGCACAGTACTGAGAACCTCGGGAGGAAAGATGAGGCCATGGGCTTGAGGAGCAGCTGGAGAGATGTTGACAGGCACAAGACAGCACAGGCCCCAGGGGGCCACCCCTGACCCTCCCTCATAAGCCCCAGCCCTGAGCACAAGATCTGGCCTAGTCTCAGATTCCTGGAACCTGCCAGACCCACCTGCCCTCACAGGCTGCTCCCAGAAGAGGATGAGGCACAGGCTGAAGGCCTGGACAAGGCCAAGTGGATGCATCAGAATGCAGTCAGGCTGCCCTTGGCCAGCACTCAAACTTGGCCACTTCACGCTCTGGGAGCAATCCTTCAACCTTCCTAGCTCTGTAAAAGATGTCTAGTGTAGGGGTAAGGTTAAATGAGAAAATTCTGAAAAGTTCCCACCATAAACCAGTGGGTGCTCTAAATGTTCCTCCCTCCCACTGTGAAAGGCCTCAAGCCAGGAGGCTGGGGTGAGAGTGGTGAGGGGAGAGGGGCTAATCTGACCCCAGCCACCCTTAACACATATGACAAGCCCCATCCTGAGGCACGCGGCTCATAGCCCTTGCCTCAACCTCAGTCTCATGGTGGCCTTGTCCATCCTGTGCCCCTTCTCTGGGCTCATCTTTCATGCTACACTCCGAGATACTGGGGACAGATGGGAAGCTGGTAGGTGGGCACTTACTTGGGCAGGGCCCGGCTCTGCCGTCTGGTTGGGCCAGGCCACAGCAAAGGTGCCCTCGGCAGCACTGGGCTCCCTGGAAGGTAAGCTGCCAGCTGGACTCTCCGTGGGCTGATGATGGCCACCAGGGAGCACAGGGTGGGAGGATAGGAGGCAGGGAGAAGAAGGTATTGGGCAGGGCATGAGACAGAAGACAGGCATGAGCTGCCAGTGCAGGCAGAGGGGAGAGTGGTGCCTGTGGCAGGCTGCCCTGCCAAAGCCTAGCAGGGAACTTATACAGACCCTCAGAAAGGACACGCACTTCCAGTTCTTTGATCCACTGCCAAAGGGACAGGTAGGTGTATGAATGTACCACCACATTTTCAGCACCCACTGAAATCTTCTCATCAGAATGGCTCTCCCAGCTCCCACCAGGACTCCTCCAGAGTGAAACCCTATTGTGGAGCTTCCCAAGAGGCCCGGAGCCAGGCTGCCAACACTATCACCCCAGACCCTGCTCCTGCAGGGCAGGTCCCATGCCCTCCCTGACCCTTTACGTCAGAGCCACTAGGTTCTGACAACACATGCTCAGCAGGCCCTGCTCACATAAGGGCACCTAACCTCATTCTGCCTTCCCTCCCCTCCTTCTCTGTCCCAGCAGCCCCCTGATGCCACTGCCCTATGTGGCCCCTGGGGACAGAAAGCTCCTCAAGGGCAAGTACCCTCCACACCAAGGCCCTCCAGCTCTAGGCCTCAGCCCAGCATGAGGGGACCGTGCCCATTTTGGGTGACCTGCTAGTCACTGTCTAGGGCCACTCACAGGTCCTGACAACTGGGCCACACCAAGAAGGACCTCCTTCTCAGGCTACACCAAGGAGCTCTTTTCCCATAGGGCCTGGGTAGAGGCATGGCGCCTCCCCAGAAGGAGGTGGCATAACATTCCCCTGTGCACCTGTGAACAAGCCAGATGCAGGAATAGGTAGTGGGCCTAGCACACGCAGAAGAGCAGCTCCCCTACTGTCCCCCTGTTCCCAGGGACAGGCACAAAGCAAACATGGCTTACCTCCCAGAGGTCCCAGGGGATCGGCTGAGTGCAGCACAGGGAGGACAGAGTTAGCACAGAAGTTAGAGACAGAGGCAGACAAGCAGTCCCCAGTAATCCCCCTACCCTGCACCCACCCAGGGTGAGCCAGCAGGCACAGGCCAGCCCTGAGCCAGGCTCTGCGGTCCCTAGACAGCTGAGTCCTGGACACATCTCAGGGGCTGCAGCATCAGGCCAGGGAGTGCCCAACATAGGGCCGCTGCGAGGGGAGGTGCGCGGTGCTAGGTTGGATGGTACACTGCCAGGTGAGTGTTCAGCTGACTTTTCTCCTGAGGGCCCTCTCACCAGCCTCTGTCTGCTCTCTTCCCTTTCCCCATAATCAAGACCAGAGAGGTGACAATGGCCAGGGACCACAGTGTGAGTGGGAGGAGATCCTTAAAGGCCCAGACCTGCATGGGCCCACAGGGCTAGTGAGCAGGCGTGAGTCCATGGCCTGGTAGCCCAGAGACCAGTGGGACCATGGGTGGTGGCAGACTCAGACCAACCTGACCAGAGGGTGTAGCCGCCTTCACGGGGCTTGCCACAGGCAGGAGGGGGTCAAAGTCCAGGTCCAGAAGACTGGCCTGCTCCGAGAAAGGCCCCAGGGCCTCAAACTTGGCAGCGGTGGCAGTAGAGGAAGAAGGCAGTTAGTGACAAATAGAAAACGCTCAACACAGACACACACAGCAGCTGCCCAAGGAACATGATGTCCACCTCACACACAAAGCAGCACTATCCACGCCAGACCCTGGCACACACTACCACCCACACAAGCCTGGCACCCACCTCAGTCATTGGCAACAGGCCAACTACCTGCCAGACCAATGGCAAACCCCCTCTCTTGGTTGGTCTCTGCCCTGTAGGCTGATGGAGGTACCTGTGCCTCTCATCTCCCTGCATTACAAACTCCCAAGACTTCACACACCCCCAGAGGCAGCACAGGCTACAGACCAGGCTGGACTAGATCACAGATGGTATCTCTGACTCATAGGGCTCCTGGGATAGGCTTCAGCCTCCTCTCACAACCCCAAATGGATAGGCCACCCTGTGAATACAACAAACCCCTAGCCAGCTCCAGGAAGTGAGGGCAGGACTGAGCCAGCCACTCTGCCTAGGAGCCCAATCATTAAGATGGAGTCCCCAACACTTGTGGCACCTGTGTCGCATTGAAGATTCTGTCCCAGCCAGCCCTGAGATTATCATTCAGTGGTTCTGGGTACAACTCAAGAATGTTCGTGTGACAAGCACAGCCCTAGGAGGCTGGGACATGGTGGCCCCGTTCACGCTGGGAGAACTAGCCCCACTGTAAGCTGGGCCTCACCATCTTGGTAAAAAAGGGTCTTTCCCAGAAACACCTGCAGAGGACAGCCAGCTCAGCACCAGAGCCCAGACAACATGCTGCCCTCCTGGGAGAAGCAGTCTCCATCTGTTATGAGGGGTCTCCATTTCTGGGTCAGGAAGGAAACTGGCTCAGCCCAGGCCCTCCTCCCCAGCCCTCATGCAGTTCTGGGAGGGCTACAGCCCCCAGAAGCCTAGTCCAGCCCGGCTCCACTTGTTCTTGATGGGCACTCAGCACTGATAGGAAGCGCCTCTAGCCCTTGTCCCTCTGAGGCCCTCTGTAAAAGGACACAAGACCTGGAGGAATGGGGAGGGGCTTGCACAGCTGAGGTGTGGCCTGCCAGGACACAGCCCAAGCCTTCAGGTCTGAGAATGAACACTTGGTGCCAAGCCACAGAGCCTAGTGATCCCAGGCCACGTGGACTCACTTCCTGGACAGGAGGCCCTGGCCCTGGAGGCCCTGCCCAAGCTCACCTCAATGACTAACTTTTTTAGTCAAGCCCTGTTCAATGATCCTGGGGGAGAGACATCATTGCTCTGTCCCCCTAACCCTTTGTCCCTAAGGAAAAGCATGCTCAGGATACCCTAGGTGCACAGACACTAGGTGCCCTCCCACCAGCCTGCAGGCAGCATCTCTCTCCCCAAGTAGCCCCACAACCTGCCTTTCTCAGAAGTCATTCAGGCCCAGACAGCTGCACCCTCATGCTCCAAGGGAACATGGTCACCAAGCTAAAGGACAGACCTCCACCATCCCCACCGTGCAGGACCAGGACTGTCCTTGTCACAGGGAAGCAGGCTACTCACCACAACCCAGACGAGCAGCCCTGTCAGCATAGCTTCGTGGATGGAACCAGCCCACCCCAGCCCCAGGCAACAGCACTCACAGTGTACATTCCCCATTCCCACTGGGCAGATACCCGGCTCCCTGCAGTGAGCAGAGGGGCAGCAAGGGCAGAGTGCAGTAAATATGGAGATGGACACACTCAGAACAGGCAGTCTGGCTGCAGGTCAGGCCCACAGGCTCACCTGTTACACGGAGACAACCCCCTCACAGAGGGTGATTGAAAACTGAACAAGGCTGTGTAGGTAAGTACTGGCACCACTCCCCAGTCAGGATTCACTAGAGCTCAGGTAACCCAGGCAGAGGCACGCTCCAACTGCAAGCATCCCAGCAGCGTGCTACCCTGGAGGTCTGACCACCTGTTTATTACAATTCTCCAGGAGTGCCGCTGGGCCAGCCTCAGCTACCTTCTACAGACAGGGGCTGCTACACCTCCTGGGCCCCTGAGCCAGGGCATCACCCTGCACCCACCTAGCACCCCCTACTGAAAGTTCCTACTTCTGACCCAAAGTCCTCCCTGGGGGTTGGCTGGAAGCCCACTCGCCCCAAGAGCCCTCTTAGCAGAGACTACTCTCAGATCCCATCCGCCTTTCCCTCTATATTCATGCCTTCCAGCTCTGCCCCTCCACTTCTGGCCTCTGAGTTTGTACTAAGGAGAAAGAGCCCAGAGCTCCCCAGGCAGAGCAACCCTACAGCAGCAGCCCAACACAGGCCCACTGCATCCCGATATCAGCAGTCCACATGAGACCAAACCTCACATGGAAAGCACCTGGCAGGGAGGCCTGGAAACCAGGCTTGGAGCAGTTAACACCCTGCGTGCAGCCCGCTCCAGTGCTACCACAGCGCCCTTCCCCTGTTCGGCCCTCCTCTTGTCCATCTGTGAACAGGCATTACGTGCCTCCTTAGGGCATTTATGAGCACATTGAACTCCAGAAGTTCCTCAGCCCATCTCTCACCCCTTCTGCCCTATAAACATGCCGCTGTTTCAGCTGCTCCAGGCTGCCTGCTCCAGGAAGCCTCCCCTGACCAGCCCAGGTCCTCCATGCTCCCCACCCCTTTTGGCCATAGCACTGATGGAACCACAAGGCCACTGCTGTGCTGACCATCTCTGCTAGGACCATTTGCCTATGGCCCTGATCTGGCCACAGTACATGCTCAGAGGTGGATCGATGAGAAATGATGGATGAAAGGATGAGGAATGAGTGAGAGGGAGGCTCAAGGCCAGGCTCTCTGGCCAGATTCCAAGCTCTTGAGACAGGGGAATAGGGTGTGGGATGGAGGGAAGGCCATGCACACCCCAAGAGAGCAAGAGGAGGGGGAGCTGGGCCGCGGCAGCCGCGGCTGACCTGGGAGGGGGTGGTCACGCTGATCTCAGGGACAAAGGTGTCATCAAACAGGCTGAGGATCTGCTCCTGCTTGACCTCCTTTGATGGGGTGTGTTTGGGAGGCGGAGGGACTGGTGGGCCTTTCCGGAGCTGTGGTTCAACAGTGGGTGAGGGGCCACACAGGGAGGCACAGCAGAGCGTGGAGGTTGGGTGGGAAAGGAGGGGGAGATAGAGACAAAGCCATGGTTAGTCACATCCCAGGCCACGGCCCCACCCAAGCAACTGAGAAAAATGAAGCAAAAAGAGTCACTGTTCCCCAAGACAGACACCAGGACCACGGCCACCCTCCCACAGCACGAGGTCCAAAAACACTGTGCAGAGAGAAAGGAGAAAAGGGAAGGAAAAAAAGGGAGGAGGGAAGGAAGTGAAAGAAGAGAAAAGAAGGGAGTGCCCATAGGAGGGCTCACCACCTGGTGAGAAGGCTGAGAAACAAACAGTAGCTGAGATACAGCCCAAGAGCCCAGCCTTCTCTCAGGCCTCCACATCCTGGGCTCTCTCCACATCCTGTGAGATGAGCTCCAGCTTGGTCCCTGCTATCATCTGTGGGGGCCAGCACAGAGCCAGGGCCCAGAGGAGGCAGAAGAAAGATTGTCACACACCGGCCCACTTGGGGGGCCTCAGGCAAGTCACACAACACACCAGAGCTTGGGCTTCTTCATTTCTCAAGTTGGGCTGATAACAGCATCTGCTTCACAGATGATTGTCAGGATTCAATTAATAAAAATAGGCAATGTGCTGGCACAGTGTCCAGCCCAAAGTAAGTGCTATTCAAGTGTGGGTTCTCAGCCCAATTAACATCTTTGTCTTAATCAGCTATTGAATGGGGTGATGGCATAAACCCAACAGAGCTGGGGTACAACCTAACATGGTCCAGCAAGGTCTGCCCATGGACACTGTACCTCTTCCCTTCCCTTCCCTTCTAGTTCCTGGGGATGCTGCAGAAACCCGGAGAAACCTGGTAGGGGCAGAGGCCAGGCTTCTCCAGCAGGGGCCACACCGGAAGCCCAGGCCTGTCCCCTTGCCCACCTCACATAACCCTTTCTGAGCCCTTTCTTTTGCTGTCCCTCTAAAGGTCCTGCAAGGCCCCACACAGGAGAGAAGGTGAGGACAGGGGAGGCAGCTGCTTCTGAGGACCTATGTCTCAGTTGGAAAAGGAGATAGAGAAAGTCAAGCCACCCAAAATCCAGGGAGGGAAGGGAGAGGGGGAACAATGCTGTGAGGCAGGGGGACACTAAGGAGGAAATAAACAGTCACAGATGCCCCTGAGAGGGTCAGGGCCATTAAGGTGAGCCTGGACCAAGCAGGGTCCAAGGAAGAACAAGACCAGACTTAGCCCCCTATGGTAAAAGCTCTGGCTCCAAACCTACCCAGGCCCAGGAAGGAAACAGAAAACTAGAAAAGAGAGGGCATAACAGAAAAGTAGGAAAAAGAGCAGAGAGGGAAGGCGACAGGCCACTAAGATACCTGAGACGGGGACTTGGGGAGGACAGCCCCAGGGGTGGCCACACTGGCCGGTTCAGGATCATGGTTGACTCGGATCTCAGGGGTGGCAGCAGGGGAACTGTCCGGCGGAGGTGAAGGGCTCTTGTTCCCTTTTGCAGGGGCGTTGTCACTGTGGAGGCAAAACAAGAGGGAGCCCAGTGGAGGGAGGTCCCAGCGTCTGAAAGGAAATGTGCAAGTCCACAGGTGTGTGTCTGAAGGGGCATGTGCATGTCCAGATGCCTTGAGGTCCATGTGCATGAAAATAGGTGCGTATGTATGAGCATGTAGAGAAGTCTGTGAAACTGAGTATAACGTGTGTCCACACAGATTCACTGGGAAAATGTTTCATCTCCACGTGCGAAACTGCGTCCGTGTGCCTGAGGACTGGTGAAATTGAGACCACAGAACACATGGGGAGCTCTGGGCTGGAGGCCTGTGGTCCCCAGGGGATGGGGGCAGATCCCAAGGAGCCTGTGCCCGAGGCAGCCCTGCAGCCCCAAAGGCCTGCATTAGGCTGGCCCCACGGAGGGCCCAAGCTCCCCAGCAGGAGAAAGACAAACATCCGAAAGGCAAAGTAAGCCTCAGCCCACACGCCACACACAAGCTGTGCAGGCTCAGCCCCCCACCTCAGCCTGACCCCAAAGTCCTCTCACTGCCTCCCTGCCTGTCCACCCACTCCCACCAGAATGCCAAGCACAGCCTGGCTCCCAGCCACACCATGCTCCCAGCCACACCACGCCATCACTGTCTCTGTATCTCTGCTCCCACGGGCCACAGGCCCTTTCAGGAAAATGTGGGAGACCACCCAGAAGCCATGGCAGGTGGGTGAACAGGAGGCAGTGCCTATAGCAGAGCAGCTGGGATGATAGGGTGAGACCTCCAAGCCAGATTGTTCAGGCAAATGTGCATAAACCTCCACATGGATGCAAACGGAGCAGAAACTGAACACCTATGTTTGTACTCCCATTAACTCGAGGACAGTGCTGACCAAGACTAGCCACAAGCCATATGTGGTATTTATATTTATATTTATATTTATATTTATATTTAAATTAAACTAAAAATTCAGCTCCTCAGTCACACTGGCCACATTCCAAATGCTGGCCAGCCATTTGAGGTGAGTGGCCACTGTGCTGGACAGGGTAGTAGCTGATCACCTGGGAGAGGGCGATCTAGACGGCAGAATGGATGTGAGAGTCACTGCTGGTACTGCCCTATCTTTATTGAATTTGCATTTCATGGGATGTATTTGCCTCCTTGAAGAATATAAATGGGGAGAGGGGGGTAAAAGGGAACAAAATTGTAATGGGAAAAAAGTTAAATCAAAAAAATAAATATATATATGTATTTTTTTAAAAAAGAAAGTATACATAAGGACAGCACACAGGCACACACCCCTTCAGAACAACCACTGCACGGCACAGCCCTCCCTGTACCACCCAGGCCTCCTTTCTGGCGACACAATCCACCTGCTAACGCTCTGGATCCAGCTGCTGCTGGCACACATGGGTCTGCAAAGGCAGATGCTAAACTGAGCCCAGGCTGTCTATCTGCCATTCCCCCCATGACCCCTCTGTCTGACCCACAGCCACACATGACACCACGCAGCCCCGACTCTGTGGGCAGCACCACACACAGGAAGGCAGGTTAGGGGTTAGTGGCGCCCTCAGAGAAGGGCATGAGGCGCATGCGCTGGGGCCACCAGCCAGGCTGTTGGCCTGGGGTATCCCCACAATGCAGCACTCACTGCCGGTACCTGTTCTTCTTTCTGCGCAGTCGGGAGAACAGTTTAGTTTTCTTTCTGTGGGGACGGACAGGACGTGGAGGTCTTCATTTGGGGGAAAAGTGGGATGTGGGGCTGGCCTGTCCCCATCCCCCATCAGCAACTCCTAACAAAGGGGTTGGGCAAAGAAGCAAAGTCTCCCCTAACACCCAGGGGTCATGAAAAGGGCCCGACCCTGCCTTTGGGCCACCATCATCCAGTCCTGAGCCCCCTGGCTGACCTGGGCATGCTGCCAGGTGCCCTGAGGTAGTGCTGACAAAATGAGCAGAGGGGGAGCTGCCCCAACTCAGCCTGGCAAGCTGCTGAAGTCCAGCCCACAGGAGCTCCAGGCCCAAAGTACCAGGTAGGACTGGAGTCAGCTGCCACACGGGGCCCTGAGAGAGGAGGCAAATAGGCCTCCTTCAGTATAAGGCAGGCTCACAAGACTCCATGTCCCTTGCTCTTTCCTCAGAATGACCAGCCCCTTTGCCACAGAATGGCTGTCTGAGAGTATGAATGCCCAGGATGACGACCACTCACCCCTCGCACCCAACCTGGACACTCCCACCGTGACCTCAGTCAGGCCAGGCAGTGCAGCACAAGGGGAGGCAGGTCCTCCATCCAGTGACCTGGGAAATTGCCTTTGGCCTTTATTCCAGCTCATTCCACCCCCAGCACTCCTCAGTCCAGGGCACTCTCTGGGTCCCTCTGTCTCACATATATTTTATTTTCAGGGCAAAAGGGAGTAACCTTAGTCATTGAACCTCCTTAGTCCTAGGTAGTACCCTAATCACCCCCAAGCAGCAGATACAATCACCCCATTTTATTGATAAGGAAAGTAAGGTTCCCTGTGCTCTCCACACTGCACTACAATGGCCAGAAAGGAAGGAAAATATCAGACTCATTATAATATCCCATGAGCAACAGACAAAGGGCAAGACTTTCCCTCTCCTCCCTCATGCTTGCCCCTCAGGAAACAGTTGTCTCCTCAGACGCAGTGAGGCAGGAGGGGCCCAGGGCTGGGCTAAGGGCAGGAACAAGGATGCCTTTGCGGGTGTACTGAATGCCACCATACTGAGGCTTGTGCTTCCTGGGAGCACAAGAGAGAAAAGATGGGGCCGCCCCAATCTAAGAGGGCTAATCACTTTCCAAAAGGCTCCACACCTGTGAATCACTCAGTTCCCCCTTACCCTCTCCCAAACCTACACAGGCACCCTGTCTGTTCCTGCTCCACAGGAAGTGAGGTTCAGGTGCTGTGCCAACTGCTGAGGAATGCTCCTCCCCTGATGGGAGACGCAGGAAATGGCAGTGACCTCACCTGCTCCCCTGGGCACAGGGAGGCCAAACCCACGGGACCACAAGAAAAAGCCTTGTCCCAACCTTGCATGAGCAGCAAGCAACAGAAGCCCACCCCAAGTCACACCTCCCACACCTGCCAGCAGCCTGGAGGGCAGTGGTTATTACATACCTGGGCTGGGCCTTGACTGTGAAGGTGTTGCTCCCGTGCTGCTTCTCCAGGCCCACCAGCACATCGTGGAGATTCTGGTTGAGCTGCAGGAGGGATAGCAACCAGGTAGGGGGACCTTTGGAGCCACCAAATAGACCCATTCTCCCCAATGCCATCCCGTTTCTTCCCTATTAACCCCTTCCCCGCCCCCACCCCCATCCCCACCTGAAACAAGATCCTCTTCCTCATCAGTTGGAGCTGGGAACCAGCATACCACACCCAGGAAACCAGGGGGAGCAGTGGAAGACGTGGGCTGCTCTGCTAACAATTACTGTTTCTGGAGACCATCTTTCCCTTTCTTTCTCCTTGTAGGGATTTCCCAAAATTCCACATAAAGGTTGTAGTATTTTTAAATTTTTTTAAACTAGTTTTGCAAACTAACTATTGATCCTACTTGTTTAGGTCATTTTGCCAAGATGATTCAAGGTCACACTACAACTGCCAGATTCCACCAGATGCACAGGCAAGAGAAGAGGTTTATCACATGCACATAGTAAGTCTCATTACTGAGACTATTTCCCTCTTTTTTCTGGCTACTAGGAAGTTCAGAGATTAATTTTCCTTCTGTTTTATGTAAATATTTTCTTCCCCCTCTCTCTGCCTGTTTTTTAAATTTTCCCAGGCTGTCTCAAGTCTCTGAAGGAAAAGGAAAAGGAGGAAGGAAAGGGACTGCCTAAAAGGCAGGAAATCATCCTCAGGATGGCAACTCAGGAGAGGCCCCAACCTTGGTTTTCCACCTCCTGCCCTGGGCCTGGAATCCACCACCATCACTTTATTCCTCTGGGCCCGCAACACAGAGTCAGACCCACCCACTTGCACAGATGGAGAAAGCTGCCAAGATTGAGTTTCTCCAACACAGCTTTGCAGTTTAACTGCCAGTTAAATTAAAATGAAAATAACAGAACATAGAAATTTAAGCTAATCAGACCCTTTCTTACATCAGATTCTGGCAAATAACAAAGATGTCTTTCAATATCTTAAGACACATGAAAGAACATTAAAAATTGAGAAAATTCTAGCAATTTATTTCTTATCTGTCTACAAATTGGGAAACTGCCACCATTTTCTAACACTGAGTTCCCTGGGCCAACGTTGTCTGAGAACACATTTACAGTGAGTGGGGCTGACTCTGTTCAGGCAGGAAGAGTAGGACCAGGAGCAGGACGAAGGCTGGGTCTAGACCTTCCAGCTCTACTGACAGCCTGACAGCCTGACAGCCTCCACCGCACACCCAGCAGCTCCCACTGGGCGGAATACTCTGAATGCAGGGGCCAGAGGGAACATTGCGGTCAACAGTATATGCAGAACCTCAGCAGGGTAAAGGGAGCTCATCAGTCCCTTCTGTGCCTCTGAGAGTTGCCCTGAGCAGGGTGGATGGAGCAAGGCCCAGAGTCCCTGAGGCCCATAGGAGTCACCAAAGCCTACCTTACTCATCTCCTTGTGGAAGTTTTCCTCCAGGCCTGCAATGCTCTGAAACGTGTTGACATAGAAACCTACACGGCTGCAGGGGGGAGGGAAGCAGACAAAGTGAACATGCAGGTCAGTGTGGACAACCCTCCCCAGAGACACAGCCCTGAAAGGGTGCAAGGCACCATGGACAGAGTTGTGCAGCCTTGGAAAGGAGGCTGAGGCTCAGGCACCACCTCCCGGCCCTCACCTGTTCCACAAGGATGGTAGCTCCTCCTGCAGGTCCACATTCATCTCCTCAAACACCTTCTGGGCTTTGATGAGCTCCTCCTCCGCCTGAGGGGCAGGACCAGTCATTCCTTCTGCTGGGCCCCTGTCCCAGCCAGCCAAGGCCAGGCCAACCCCCCCCCCACCTTCAAGACCTGCCCCCTTACCCCCACCTAACAGGTTCAGACCAGGGCTCTGGGCTAAATGGAGGTGGAACTGGATGTGGACACCTGGGAAGACTACCCCTTGTGGCCTCTGGGGACCTTGCAGCCAGGCCCTCAGGTGCTGCTCCAGGAAGGGGAGAGCAGAGAAAAAGGCAGGGGCTCTCTTTCTGGCCCTGGCAAACCAGGAGAGAGGCGAGGGATGCGTAGGGCACAATAAGAAGGCACAGACGTGGGTCCCAAGGTGCTGAAACACAGGAGGGTGAAGAGGCAGACCCAGACCCACCATGTGGGGACCCAGTCCACTTACATGTGAACCTCTCAAAGGCTAGGTGTCAGCCTGCTGCCCAGCTCTCTGGGCCTTGCTGTCCCCTCCAGAGTTTTCCTTTCCTCCTGTCTCAAGGCTGCCTCCTACTCCGTCTCAGCCACCAGCCTGCATTTCCCCTCCCTGGGACAGTCTTTACTACCCTCCTTCCACCCTCCTACCATTCTCTCCTCTGTCACATGTCCACACTAGATGGAGGGCAAGGCCAGGGGAGCATGGAATTGAGCAGCTGGGTAGGGTGCCTGAGCCCACTTCCAAGGCCTTCCTCTTCCCTGGGCAAGCCCTGTGCCCTCCAGCTGCTTAAATCTACCAAGCAGTGGTGGCAGGCCTCATCACAGAGCCAAGAATGGAAAGAAATGCAGCAGCATCAAGGGCCTCCTCCAAAGGTGGAGGGCCAGGCAAGGGTGGAGGTGAGTCATGAGACCCCACCCCAGAAAGGGCTCCGCTCGCTCATTCTGGAGGGCACTGATGGAAATAGTGACTCAGCAGGCTGACTTGGATTCAGGGTCTGAATCATGGCCCAGGAATGTGGCAGGACCCACCCAAAAGAAAACTTCCCTCCAGCAGCCTCAAATTCTCAGGCCTCTAACCAAGGCAGCCAACTGGCCTGAATGCCAAGTGCCACAAAGCACAAGCTTTCCCCAAGCCCAACAGGCTGGCCCACCCAGCGTCAGGCACCAGGACCAACCCAAATAAGCCTTGTCTCCACTCTGCCCAGAGCTGAGCCTGGTGACTTGAGGGAGGGTCTGGAGGAGAGAGGGGCCACCATCTCTCCTGACTACAACTGCCTTCAAGTTGTTGGAACTGGCTGAAGTGAGCATGAACTCCTTACCTAAGTTTTAAGAATGTAATTTAAAAATTAAAGATAGCATGAGGAAAAAAAAAAAATGTCTCTCTAAACATGCATGCCTCAGCCATTCCTGGATGGATTAGATCTGGGCTGGATACCCTGACTGGAGGCTATGGATGACGGTTTGTAAAACCCATAATGTGAGTGACTCCAACACACCTAGCTGTGAGTGCCTCACACTGTCATGCACACATCCCACCCAACAACCTGGAGTCTAACTCCAGTCCCATGTCCCCCCGCTGGAGTCCACCTCAGCTACCCCAGTTCCTGCACCTTCAGAGGCTGCCTCTCACTAAAGATTCAGCCTCCACCCAACAATGCTGGTCCTAACTTTCCAATAAATAATCATGACCATGACAAACCGTGGCACAGTATCTCTTCACTGTGTGCCAGGTCTGTCCCAACATTCCAGCAATACTGCAAGAGCAGAATGGCTCCATTTTAGAGTTCCTGGAGGTCAAGGCCTTAAGCCTTTTATTCCTTTTGAGTCATATTCTCATGTCCTCGATCTCCGAGAAGAAACTGGGTGTCAGGGAGTATAGGAGAGGAAGGGAGTACAGGAGAACTGTCATTGTTGGGGAGGCCTTGTAGCCCTGGCGGCTCTGCTACATGCTGACGAATGGACAAGGACAGCGGACCCAAAATCAGCCTGTGCACTGGGCACCAGGCCACCAGCATCCTGCAGGCAAGCTTTGGGAGACCATGGCAAGTATGAAGAACAGCTCAAAACTGAAGAACAGAGGACATCTGGAGCTGATCAGCTGGAGATTTCACAGTTCCACAGGGTTGCAGTTTCCCCAAAGTCAAGTCAGCCATCAAGACAACCCCAGGTCCCAAGTACCCAGCTCACAGCCAGACAGCTGCCCAAGGAAACCCAGCCAGGCGTGATGCAGGGTGGGAGCAGAAGGAGGATATGCTCAAATAAAAACTGAATCCAAATGGGAAAGCAAATTTGGCTGAAAGACAAAACATCTGCAGTCCAACATCCAAAGATGACATCATGTGCTTTAGCCTCCCCTGCTGCTCCCCATGGGTCACAGTGTGGGGCCCTCCCAGCAGGATCCTCAACCACACCCATTGCAGGAGCCCAAAAGCAGTCACAGGCCCCACCCCAGGCCCCAAAGGCTCTCAGGGGTGCTCCTACCCAATAAAAATGTTCACTTGGCTTCCTGCCAAACACGTTTCAGGAAAACTATACAGAAACCCTGTCTCTGGGTCAGTGGCCCCATTCCCCCTTCAGTAAGAGTGCTAAGCTCTACAAAAGGCTCAGTCTAGCCCATCACTCCTCCCACAGGAGGGGACACAGAGGCCTATCAAAGACACCCTATGCCATCACCCTCAGACCCTGGAGCTCCTGGTCACCCTACCCTCAAAAATCAGCCCACAGGTTTGACCTAAAAAAATCAGCAGGTCAGGTAAAATTGGGCCACAAGCCCATGCTGAGCCCAAAGTCTCCACATCATCGGCATTCAATACATGTGGGTTGAAGATGATGAAATCAGAAGGTGGCCCCGCAAAATCAAAAATGGGGCAGCTGCCCAGAGAGAAACCCAACCTCCTGGGTCAGGCCTGTCGCCTGTCCCCACCCCAACACCATGAAGGGGTACTAGAGTAAGTTCAGTTTCACTGAAGAAAAAGCCATCAGGCCACTTCTCTCAGGGCACTGTGTCCAGCAGCCCCTGCCACACCAAGCCCATTCCGAGAGCAGGGCCTGAGAAGACTGAAGTATTGCCAGAGGAGTAGGATCACTTAGGAGTTTTGTACCAAGAACCTCCTCCATGGAGCCCTCCAGGACCACTGTGGTGCAGACTGTCCTCCATGAAACTCCCAAAGGGCAACCCCAGGTCTCAACATACCAGCCTGGCTGAAGAACCCTGCCAGTGTCCCCTCCAGGGGCATCGTGGGGACTCACACCCAAGGGTCCCAATGAGTCTGGCCACCTGTGGCAGGGACACCCACATGGAGCCCAGGGCCAGTGAGCTAGGAAAATGGCCCAGCACCCAGGCCTTGAGTCACATAAGCCCCAACTCAGGCACTAACTGGCTCAGGGACACTGGGCAGGAGATTTCGCCCCTCTGCAGGTCTGTCTCTGCAGTAAATTCAGAATCACCTTACAGCTCTTTTGAGGCTTGAAGGACAACACATGTCAGGACAATAGTCCTCACAGAGGATAAAGGGTTCCAAGGCTTTCCTGGGCTTCTGGACTCTAAAATGTCAGTCTCAGGGCCAGAAACCCCAATGCTGAACAACAGACTCACCCCAGACAACCAGAGTCCCCAGCCTCTATCCCCTCCTGTGTTTGACCTCTGGTCTTAATATGTAACGGGAGCTCTCCCAGCACAGGTATTTGAAACCAGCCCTGTCTCCCAACCCAGGAAGAGGGCTGAGCCCTCCCCAGCCAGGCAGTGCAGCACAAGGACAGGACAACAGACCAGAAGGTGCCAGCACGTGCAAGGTTAGAAGCCAGCGTCACCTGATTTCGGAGCAGGTTAGTTTGAGCTACAAGATGAGCCTGCAGTTTGCCTTGGCACCACTGGGGGGCGGCTTTCTCAAGCAGCGAGACAGGCTGGTGGGGGAAGGGAGGTCAAGGCAAAGGAGAGTGGAAGAACAGGAGGGAAATGGGGAGAGAAACAGAGACATAGATATTAAACACCAAGTCCAAATGTCCCGTACACAGTAACAGACAAGCTGGCTGCCCCCCCCCCGCCCCCCAGGGATCCAGCCCACCCCTCCAGGGATCCAGCCCTTTCTGCAGGCTGAGAGAATTAAGGGAAGCCCCCAGCAGGGCACAGAAGGTAGTGAAATCCAACTGCAAAGCAAAATGTGAGAACTGTTAGCAAATGCAGAGGGGTTCAGCAAGTATGATCCTGCTCTGGGGTGGGGTGGATGGGGTTGGGGGACTCATCCTCACGGCTCTGTGGAGAATGTGGCCAGCCCAAGTCCGGTGCTCCCCCACCGGCTCACACTCCTACACCTCCAATCCCTACCCCCAACCCAACAACCTTGCTTGTTCCAGGGAAGACAGGGTCACATCAGATTATGTGATACAATTCCACTCAGAGAGCTTATCAGGGCCAGGCAGAGCCTTCCCAGGGAACCCCAAGCCTGTTCTCCTTCTGGAAAGTGGCCTCTGAGTGAATGGAGGGATCATAGGCCAGGGAAGGCATCAGAGAATGAGCCAGAGGTGGGTCCTCTCCCAGGGGACCACAAGGACCTTTCAGTCACCCACTCCAGCTCTGAGACTTGGCACTAGTCACAGGTAGAAACCCATCCATAAAAAGGCTTGAGCGTTCCCTCCCGCAGTGGAGTATGAGAGCCAGGGTGCAAAGGAGCAGGTAAGTGCAGCCCAAAAGGGTGGCTCCCTGGGGCCTGTACACACCCCCACCCCCCACTTTGTCTCCCTGAACACTGCCCTGGCCCCTCTTCAGCCCCTACCTTGGCAATTTTGACTTCATCCTTCTTTTTGGCTGTTTGGAGAGACTCGTAATGGTGCCGGGCACTGTCATAGTCCACCAGCTTCCGCCCTCGCTTGGCAATGCGTGACTGGGAGACAAAAGGAAGGGGAAAGAGCTGAACAGGGTCTGGCAAAAGGCCTGCTGTGATGCTGACCCAGCTGGGCCCAGAGAAATGGGGATCTGAGTGAAGGCAGGGGACCCACACAGCAGACCCTGGGCTCAAGAACAATGTATAACGCATGTTTGAGATGCCATTGCTCAAACATTTCTGGTGGCAAAGAGCTCATTTCTTCGAAGCAATCTGTGTCCTCTGTGGTCCTTTCTCATACAGAAGTGAAACCATTTCCTTGCAGATATTAACCCATTTATATGTCAGGACCCACCAGCCAATACTGTGTCAGAGGAGCCTCTTCCCTAGTTTGGCCCTCAGATCCTCAAAGATGCCTTCTGGATTCCAGGTTTCTCTTCTCCAGGGCTACCACCATCAACCTCCCTACCACACTCCCCACATGACACCTTGGGAGCCTGAGGCATCCATATTGGGTGACTGAGGGGGCCAGCATGGAGCATGACCGCCAGTGGATCAGGTCCAGTGTGACAAGTCACCACCTCTGCTCCAGACACCTCTTCTTCCATGGCTAAAGCACCCAGGTTCCCCAGGCCTTGGTGGAGATGATGGCACACTGAAAATTCACAGCACATACCCAGGCCCCACACAGGCAGCTGTCTTTTTGAAAATATAAAAGCACACGAATACAAAAAAGGTCAATGCACAAGTTTGTATCTGTTTCCCTCCAAGTGCACACAGCCTAACACAAGGCACCTTTAGACACAAATGCCGAGACCAGACATCCCCTTAAATCATATAGTCCCATAGACTCCACAGTGCCTTGGCCACACGCATGTACAGGCACAACGGGGTTAGTTCCCCTAGCCCAGAGACCTGAGGGTACAGGGCCCAAAGCTGCCAGTTCAGAAAGGCCCAAGTCTGGAGCTGGCAGGTTAGCCTCAGCAGGAGCAGCCCTGGATGGATGAGGTACCCAGTAAAGGGGAAGCCTGCCTTCAGGGCAGAGTCATTGCCTCCACTCCTGGCCCCTGGCCCCAGCTTCCCTGTGCAAGCTGTCAGCTCGACAGTCTCTCACCTTGATGTCAGGGAACTGGCCCAGGTACGTGTCCATGGTCAGCAGTGCCTGGTCCACCAGCTTCTGGTGGTAATCCATCCAGAGCAGGTCATTGTTCTAAAGAAGCAAGAGCATGTGAGTGCACCTCCGGGGCTGCCAGCCACCCCAACCCACAGCTCGTGCCTCCCAGGGACCTTGGGGATCAGCTCTTGCCCATCACTTCAAGGGTCAGTGGCTTCTGAAAACCTCAGTTTCTTCATCTGTAAAATGGGCTAGCGGCCGGGGCCAGCAGGACCTTGACCTGCCCCCACTCACCTCAGCAATCTTGTTCGCTTCATCCCTGCCAGGCCAGTCGGGTTCATACACCTCCTGCAGACACTCGTTCAGCTTTCTGGAAGCCTCATGCATGGCTGTGGGGCAGAAGGGCCATGCTGCAGCCAGGGCCACGGGGACCTAGGACAGGGGGTCCCCCAGAGGCCAAGGAGGTATGTGGGCCTCCACAACAGTCCTCATCCATTCCTCACACACCCTGACACCCTTCCTAGCTCTTCATGCATCAGCTCCACATGAGGAAAGCTGCTCCCTGCATCCTGTGAAGTCTGGCCCACTCAGGCCAGGTCTGCCCTTTACCTTTGACCGAGGCCAGGTAGGTCCGAAGATCCTTCTGCAGCCTGGTGCCCTCATTCTGCAAAGAGGAAGATGAGAACAAGGTGAGGACCTGAGGGTACGCCCTGAATCTCACTCTCTCCTCCCTGCACTCCCACATAGACTAACTAATAAAGGCTGTCCTCATCAGTACATTAAGAGGACTAGAGAAGAGGGACATGGAAATGCCTCCTGGCCAGGGTCTGGCACCAGCTTAACTCACAGCACAGCAGCTATCACCTGTCTGGCCACAAACACGTACTGAGCACCCACTGTGTTCTTGGCACCATCCCTTCCGCAGGAGCCATGTGCCTGAAGGGACGTTCATCCCGAGTTTGTCAGCACCTGTCTGTCTCTTCCAAGCACTATTTTCAGCCCTGTAAGGAAGTTAGGAAGACAGAGATCTCTCTACCCTGGAGACACTGGGGACATGGCTAAATGACACACACACGGCACAGCACGCATGTATGACAGACCTGGCATGCAGAAGCCTACCCTCAGAGAACCACAGAATGGGTGACCAATGAACATAGAAACATGGGTAAGGGTCAGGGAGCAGAGGCACCTTGTTCCAAAAGCTTAGGTGGTACCCAAGACCAACGGGCTCCCACTGCATTGTGCCAGGGATGGAGGATGGCTTACAGGAAGGGGATGGCCTAATCAGGGTGCAGATAAGTGTGGGGGTCATGCCCAGGACTCTCAGGACACTGGCCCAGCCAAGAGGGAAGGTGTAGGACATAAGAGGGGAGTAGGCCAGGTAGGGAAGCTACCATCATGCTGGACCTGATCTGCTGGTGGTCACACTTCCAAACTCAGCTTCTCTTCCTGCCAAGCCTCCCTCATCTCACTCCCGTACCCACCAGCGCCCAGCACCTGTGTACACTGCTCCGCAAGGAAAGGGTCACCCATGGGGTGGGGTGTTGCACTTGCCCGGATTTTAAGCTGTACCAGGGGCCCTTGTACCTCCCAGACAAGGCCACACTGTAAGCAGACACATGGGACACAGATGTTCAAGGGGCCATCCAGAATCTGCCACCCACGTGCAGCAACAGCTGGGCCCCTAAACCAGCTTTAAGGTCAGTCTCCAGGGTCAGACATAGCCCTTCACCATCAAGCTGCTCCTGAGGGGCAGTGCCAAGGCCAGCAAGCACAGAATTCATGTGCTCAAGTCCAAATCTGATCCTTCTGTCTCTGGAGCTGCCTAGAGTTCTAACACACTCCTTACAGAGCAGCTAGGGGAAGGATCAAGTTCTGGACCTACTGCCCCCTTGGCCTGCTCTCTGGGCTCCAGAGGCTGGAAGGGCACTACAGCTCAGGACCAACACCTACTACAATGGTGGCAGCTCAGCCACACTCCACTGTACCTCCCTCCAGAGAGTGCTCCCCACCACCTCTGACATCAGCTCCCACAGATGGCCTCAGACCCACTGGGAAGATGGAAGACTGAGCCCCGTCTTCCCAGTGGGTCTGAGGGTAGGAGCATGCCCTCCTGCACGCAGCCCCTCTGGCTTCAGCTGACCTTTGCCACTGTGCATCAATGACAGTGGGTCTTCCCTTCCAGACTGCAATGCCTACTTGGAGTCTGAATGGGCCCTAGGGACAAGAAGGATGAATAGACAGCAAGGATGAGTCCTGGGGTACAGGCTATAGATAGCCCCTAGGAGAAGAGTTTGGCCCACTTGTAGGACCCTGGGTGGTTTCCAGGACTGCCTGAGTTGGGCTTACAGCATTCAGGGAGAGAGGAAGGACAAGAGGCCTCCAGGATTTCTCAATGCAGGGACAGAGGACAGTGGTGCTGTGATGAGCACTGAGTGAGCCCCACAGAGGCTGTGATAACAAGTAGCAAAAAGGTGACCTATACCCTCTCCTAGGATCTACCTCCACAGGAAGGATAGGAAGGAATGTGCTTCCCTGAAGGCCATATTCCCTTCCATCCCAGCCCCTGAACTAGTGCTGGGCCCACTGTGCTTGGTGTTCAGAGATGAAGAACAGGAGGATGCTCAGCTTCGAGGGTCCCCATGCTTGATCTTCTCCCCGCCTTTCAGAGGGTCCCCCAAGCCCTGCAGGCTGGAAAGACTAAGCCCACTTCGGCTCCCTGAATTCACTCCCTGCAGACTAGTGTGACCCTCACACCTTTGTAAAAATCCGGACATGCCCCCGGCAGGGTCCAGTCACTCCCACATACCAATCAAATCCAGAACTGACTGGCCACCTGAACATCCAAGGGAGGTTACCCCAAGTCTTGAATAAGAACTCAAATTTGGCCCCTCCTGCTACCACCCTTGGCCCTTGAAAAGCTGGCCACCCCATCCAACCTGAGGGTGGAAAGAGTGCCAGTTAAAGTGGCCACTCCATGTCCACAGCCAGAGACCCACCAGCACTGGTCGCCTTTAGCCCCGGCCTCACTGCCCACCCCTCTGCCTAAGGATCAGTGAATGACTCCTTGTTCAGAGCCAGGGACCCAGAGGCAATGACTCTGAGGAGCAAATGCGGAGAGCAACTCTCTGGTCACAGTGGTGGGACAAGGCCACAGGAAACCTCAGCTCCCAGGCCGCACTTTCCTCATCTTCTACCAAACAGCTCAGCCTGCTTGGGACAGCCCCATCTCCCAGCCCAGGCTGCAGCTCAGGCTTCCCTAACATTTCCCTCCAGGCAGCCGGCTGCCCTCAGGACTGGCTTCAGCTCCTGAGCAAGAGCCTGAGAGTGAACAGATCTGGATTTAAGCTCCTGAGTCCCTCCACCAACTGTGTGGCCTTGGAAGAGCTGTTTAATCTTTCTGAGCTTTATATGCCTCATCAGTAAAACAAAGAGAATATTAGCATCTAGCTCAGGGATGCAAGGCTTCCCTGTAAAACATACCACCATACCAGGTCCATGGTAGGTACTCTAGTAACAATAACGCCTAAAAGACTTTCAGAGAAGTATCCCATAATTAAGGAGGACAGATGAATAGGGAACTTGTCCCATGGGCTTATAGGAGACAGAATCAGAAGCAAAAACTTCCGGTTTCTTGTTCAACCACCTATTTTGCAGTTGAGAAAACTGAGGCCCAAGGAGCAGGGGCTCACCCCGCACCACAGAGGCAGTCTCTGCCATGGTGCTTACCACGGCCGGGAAACACCCCCTACGGCTGGTCTGTGGGACAGGCAGCCACGGGGGTGCCTACCCCTGTCCTGGGAGTCTCTCAGCCAAGCCCCTGAAGGTGGACTTGGCCCTGGTATTCAGAGATGTGCCAGTCAGCTCCCTGACCCTCTCCCAGCATGTTTGCCAGCACCCGGCCAGTGGGCTGTCAGAGTCCTCCAAAAACGGCCCCTTTCCCTGGGTTCCATTCCAGCTGTAGAGATGTTGGTGGGTGCTCAACTGCCCCTTTTCCTAGCAGAGCTCAGACCCAGCCCTCACTTCCCATGCCCATTCCCAGTCCTATCACCTCTTTTGGCCTTCATCTCTATCTGTCTCTCACTGGGGCAAAGCTGCAGAAGCCAGAGTCATGGCCCAGCTCTCCTTCCTTTCCTACTGCCTTGGCCCTTCCCAGGGAGAAGAGGTTCACCAGGGTCCTCTCATTGCCCTGCTACTGTCTCAGACACAGGGGTGGCTTTTTCTAGACTCTATGGGGGAGTGGTTTCAGGGACAATCCAGTCAGGGTATCCAGAGCCTTTAAGTCAGAAAGTCTTCCCTGTATCTAAACACTGCCCCCCAGGCTGCCACATGATTAAGCCTTTCTGTAACTGGCCACTGGCCTACAAAGGAACCTAGTAAGGAAGCCCTTAAAGTTCCCTGCAATCTTTGAAAGCAGAGAAGTATGGGTCTGATTCCACTCCCACACTTGGATGACCTTGGGAAAATTACCTAATTTCTCTGAGCTTTGAGTCTTTCATCTATAGAAAGAGAACAGTGACACAGGTTGCCTTATACAGTTGTTGGGACACATCCACAAACCATCTACAAATGGCCTGGCTTAAAGCCTGTCACACAGCCAGGCATAGTCGATGCTCAGCAGGAACCCAAAACAAATCCAGTCTGTTCTGCTCCCACAGTAAATCCTGCAGATGACCCTTTCCTTACAAGTTTCCATAGCTCCCACTTGACTTGACAGTCAAGGTTTTCCAGAGTCTGGCCACAATCTACTGTCTACATTCACCCATCCCTCACCCTCCCCCCACCACCCTTTCAATGTCTTACCAAGGACCTCAAGTACACCCCTGTCCTTCCTCTTGCCCATGGTCCATGTCCAGTGCCAGTGCTTTCTCCTCCAGGAAGGCTTATGTGACCTTACCAGACCACACTGATCCTCTTCTCCAAGCTCCCCTACTCCACAAATTCAGCTTTTGACAGTTTCCACCTGGCAATACAGTCCCTTTTCCACAAGCTCCCTAAGGCCAAGGGCTACCCATACTCACCAACTGTTTGTTGAAATTCTGGACACATTGTTCAAACTGCTCATCCTTTGTCTCATCTGCCTTCCCCAGCTTCTGGAGGACCTGCAGAGGTAGAGGGAGAAGAAAAGAGTGTTACCTTGAGAAAGGAACTGGCCAGACCAAAAGGGCCCAGTCATCTATACCACAGGCCCTTCCCCACCTCAGCCTGAGTCTGGGAGGCCCCCAGCGAATATCACCAGCCCAGGGCACTGGGACCATCCGAAGGTCTCATGGCTGCTATGATCCCCAAGAATAGGACTGCAGGTCTTGAGACCTCCTCCCCCTTTCTCCAGAGCTTGCCCATCAGCCAAGAGGAGGAACTTAGGACAGGCTTGCTATAGTGACTAAAACCAGGAGAAGAGAGCTTCAAAGATAGCAGGAGGAATCAGGTGGCCCTCCTTGATGGCTTCACACTGTACGCTGGGGTGCTCCACCCCAACCCTCACAGGCAGCTGAAAGTAAGCTGAACACCAGAGGTGGCCCCATCTCCCCACATGGCTCCAAGTCCTGGGTCCAAGGTTCCTGAATCCCAGAAGGAGATGCAGAGCAGTCCCTGAGCTGGGAGGTGGCTACTCAGGGTGAGAAGAGCAGCCAGGGGTGGCCAGGGACTAGGCTCTGTGTCACTAGGAATCAGATCCCAATCTGACTCAATTTTCAGATATGACCCACTCTAGCCACCCTGCTCCCTTCTCCACAGCCCAGCAGGCCACACTGGGCGGGCACACACCCCGACAGGCTCGCTGCCGTAGCCACATGCTGGAGAGGAGGTGGAGGGCAGAGGTGGAAGGCAGAGGTGGAAGGCAGAGGTGGGTACAGGCAGAGGCAGAGACAGAGACAGAGACAGAGACACCCAAGACCTGCAGAGGAACCCAAGAGGAAGCCCTGATCAGAAGGGCTGGCCCATCAGGTTCTCCCAGATTCTCTACTCTGCAGTCCTGTTCTCTCCAGTCCCAGGGAGGAGCAGGGAGAGAAAGAGGAAGGGAGAATGAGGATGGAGGAGAGGGGAGGAGGGAAGAAAAGAGGGAGGGAGAAAGGGAAAGAGAGGCACAAGATAGAGGCAAAGAGGGGTGAGAACCATGGGAGAAGGAAAGAAAAATATGAGAAATTAGAGTTCAAAAGGGGGATGCTGAGGCAGAGTGGGGACGGGGTTTGCAGGTTTGCCTGCCATCTACAGTGCAGGGCAGTACCTCCATTAAGCAGCAGAAGAAAAACATTGAGATGTTCAGTAGAGGCAGTGGCCAAAACCCAAAAAGAATGAAAAGGAAACAGGTGGTGGTGAGGGTGGCAGGCAGAGGAAAAAAAGCTGGGACAGGGCAAGGGTGAGTATCCAATGGGGCTGTGCCCCATGGGACCAGCGGAGCCAGCCCAGCAGCTGCCTGAGGCCAGCAGGTCCTCACTGTTCTCCCCTCAAAGACCCTAAAGTGGGCTACTCTGCATGGAGCACCAGCTTTGCCCACCCAAGACCCAGACTTGGGTCCTGGACTGACGAGTGCCCAGTTCCTGAGCAGACCATGGACCCTTCCCTCCTGACCAGCCCAGGAGGGCCAGTACTTCCTTGATGCTCCTGTCTGGCTGGCCCAGGAACCACAGCAGGCCAATCAGCACTCAGTAGTATATTTTGCCATCTGTTGCCAAGCACCTGCTCTGGGCCCAGTGCCAAACACCTCGGCTGGGGTAGCAGAGATCCAGCCCCAAGATATGGGTCCAGCCCCAAGAGAGAGGGAGGCACATGGGCCTGCAGGAGTCCAGGGTAGAGCTATACCTAGCCTGGGCAATCAAGGAGGATTTCCAGGGGAAAGAAGCAACTCATGTGGAGGGAGAGCTTATAGCAAAGGCAAGGAAACTAGAAAGATGAGGTACCTTACCAAGGAATTTCTAATCATTCAAGGCAACCTGATGTCACAGAGGATACTGAGAGACAGTGTGAATGGCAGGAGAGGCAGGAGTATGCATTGGGGAGCAGCCCACAAACAATTCTGGGCTACACAGTCAGGATACAATCTATTGGGCAAGTGCAGCTGGATACCAAGCAGACACTAAGGTGAGAGGAGGAAAGCTAAACGAGCCACCACCATACCCACAGGCCCCTATTTCCCATGGCAGCCACCTCCATTTGGTCTTGTAGAAACATAGTGGAGCTGCCCCAGCCATGGAAACAGCCTGAGGTCCAGCTCTGTCCCCAGCTCCTATGAAGGGCTGGGCACAGGATAGACACACAGCATGTTCTTGGTGGCCACTGGCTAATCTGAGCCATGGGTTTTGAGGGCAGAGTCATGACCTTGAACAAAATATCCCATCACTCCACTTCAGCCTCCTCTTATGCAGTCACCTCTTATGATCATATACGAAAAGTTTGTCATCAAACCTAGGATTAGAAATATCATCCATGTTAATCCAAAGTCTGGTCTTGGGTAACCCAAGCTGACTGCAGTGGGTCCCAGCCCTGAAGAAGCAGTGTGGAGGGGGTAAACAGCTTGGGAGGCTCTGAGTGACCTCAAGCTAACTGCTTGACCTCTCCCCACCTCAGTGCCCCATCTCTGACATGGGAGTAATACCTGTAACCGCAACATGGCTAAGGCTCAGGAAAATGCTCAGTAAATGCATGCTGGTCTTGGCCTCATTTAATCCTCACTTAAATCCACCCCCATTTTACAGATGAGGGAAGAAGGGCACGTGGCCTGGGTCCCTGTCCTTAAGGAGCTCCCACTGTTGTTACTGGAAGAAAAAACAATCTGAGGAACACCTGCCCAAGGGCAGGGACCAGGACACAATTCAGTTCAATAAAATCCCACAGACTCAATTGTTATCTGCTTCCTATTTCCCACCCTCCATAACTTGGACTGCTGTCACACCCAGCAGCCGCTAGGTGCTTGAACTGCAACCCACCTTCTCCCTGCCACCTAAAAGCTGCTTATCTGCGCCCCTTCCCACGGGGAGGATGCAAGGCTGCTGTCTATAGCCCCCACCAGTTCTTCTCCTGGACACACACAGAGGCCCTTCACTTGCTGAAAGGGAAGCTGTGGCCAAGGCCTTGGGCCTTGGGGATGCAAGTGCTCCATCCCTTCGATGCATGGTTAGTGGGGCCTCCCTGCGTCAAGCTCACAGACAGATGACTGAAAGCAGCAGAGGGATTCTGGGTGGCCAGGAGGGGCCTGGCCTACAGGGGCTCAGAGAATGCAGGATGACTGAGCTGCGTTTTGAAGGATAAGCAGAAGTTATGTGAGGAAGAGGTCCTGATGGCAAACAGTCAGAATTTCCACTCTGTCCAGGGTTATATATCGGGGAAGCCCCAGACGCTACTGTGCCACCCGTCTCCCTTTCTGATAAGCAAAGCAAAGGGAGCCTTTTAATGATGGGACAGAGGACAGGCACACAGGCCCCACCACACTTGGCATTAGCCCAAAAGGAGGAAGCAGACGAGTTCAGCAGCACAACAGCCAGCAGTGCAGGAAGCCTTATCAGTGTCACTCTGGTTCCTCTCACCACATCCTCAGCTCAGTCAGATAGGAGTTGAAGTGCCTGAGAAGTGACAATGCTGTTCAGGGCGTTCGGAGCAGGGCAGACACAGGAGCACCCTTCCAACAACATGCACAGTTCAGCCTCTCTGAACCTGGGCTGTGGACAGGGCCAGCAGCCCCACCCTGGGGAAGAAGGGAGGCTCTCTGTGGCCATAATGCTATGGAGGAGAGAGGTGTTCTTTCCCCAGCCTCTGGGCAGAGGCCTTTCTCACAGCCCAGAGCATGGACGGAGACCTGCCAAGCCCTCTCCTGTCCTCCTAGCCAGCAAACAGCCCAGAGAACAGGCAAGCCCACGACAAACATGTGCCTCTACACAGCTGTGCTACATGACCACCAAACCCACAGGGGCAGAAGGCCCCCCGGGGCCAGTCTTATCTAAACTAAGAGGAGTTCATCACTGCCCACTGAATCTGCAACTTTACAGACATGAAGTGCTGCCTCTTCACAGATAAATACCTTCACCTCCATGAATAGATGCCAGGTACGCACAGGTAAATCAGGACACTGAGTCTAAGGTCTTCATAGTGAGTACTCAGAGCTGAAGAGTACTTCCAAAACTGGAAGACAGGCACCCGGTAGACCGTGTCTGCTTGCACCACTCCAGCTGGCCCACTAGGGTAGACTGTGTCTGCAGGCTCACTGGCTGCGCCAACGCTGGGTGGCCCTCCTGGGACGGCTGAGCCCTGATCCCCAGGCCATCCCCTCTTGGGGCCTCTGCCTCCCAGAGTGGCCAGACCCCCCAGACGGGTGATGCAACATGACGATATCTGAATGGCATGACATAAGGCAGGAATCAGTACTTTCTAGAACCTAAGGCAGGGGAGGAAGAAAGCCCGAGGGAGACGGGGCCCACCTTTCCAATCAGCCCTGCCTCCAGGCGCTGTGCCACATAGCAAAGCTGGGGGCCCGGCCAGCAGCCATGGCACCCATCACAGCTGCAGCAGAAGGCATTTTACATGGCCACCCATCCTTCACCCAAAGTGACCCCAGAACCCTAACCCACAGCTGCACACCCACTCACACTCACATTCACACTCACCCACCCAAGAGGGGCTTCATCCAGCGCCCCCCCAACCAAGGGACACATCACCCAGCTGCTGGAACCCCAGAGGGCCTTCACCTTCCTCATCATCTCCTCCAGCCCCTGCCCGGCTGCCGCCTCAATCAGCCTCAGTCTTCAAGCCAGCCGTACCCGGGTGGTGGGCGGCACCACCTCACTGCTTCCTCCCAGCAGAGCTGTGGTCAGAGGACCACAGTAACAGGATGCACATCCTCGCACCCTCACACAGAGGCTCCCAGAGAGGCAGGGACCAACACACAGATGGTCAGGCAGGTGGAAGGCCAGGTTTTCCCACAGATCACTCAACACACACAGCTGGGCCCTGTTCTGGGGGTTACGTCCCAAGAGGGAAAAGTGAGGCAGGTCCACTAGAACTGGGTTGAAGGCCACCAAGTGGCCACAGCCACCCTCCCCAAGGCAGACACGACAAGATGGGATATTCTGCTCTCAGACCTCTGGGTTTCTGGCTCTCTGCCCATACCTGG